TTTGGAATAGGTGGATATTCTTGTTTGCTTATGAATAGCTTTCCAGGAACTCAAAGAATACCTCAACAGCTTGTGTCGTATTCTTATGGATCGACGTCGAGCACCCTTATCTGACCTCCAACGAATGATATCGAAACTCTCTAGACGCCTAGATATAGCTGATTTGGGGAAGGTGCTCGAAAGTTGCTTTTCTAGGTTGTTGGTGAGGCCCTCTTCTCTTTGAAACAGCTGTTTATTTGACAAAATTGTTTTCTTAGGATTCTCCATGTTTACTTGAAGAACTATATAAAGGGTATGGCAATGACTGTTTAGCTTCTCCATCTTTAGCGGATTTCCACGATAAATTAGCTGTTGAAATTACAAAAGGTGAGCTGGAATTGATTTTTGCCAAATTTGGTAACTGCTGTTGACTGAACCATCATGATTTTAGCTGTATCCCACTCGGATTGGGAAGTTCGTGACACAGTGGTGGAAATTGCGGCAGCTGTACCTTGCTTCCGCCCTATGCTAGGTGAGTACGCGTAGTCCTATTCTTTACCCATGTCACCCACGTTCTAGGACCACTCATCCCTCTGGTCAAATTCGATCCATCACCATACGTGCGAGCTGCTGCCCTGAGGTGTCTGGTGCTAGACTCTCAGTACCATGTGGATGACCTCCCCCAACTTTGTGAAAGCGTAGTCCTACTGGATGCAGATGCGGAACCTAGGTAGTCGTTTCACTAACCTTACTGAAGTTGCATTGAATGAAAACCGCCTTCTCAGACTTGTAGCTATCCGCTATCTGCAAAGTACACTTGCGGAAAACATAACCCATGTGTTCCGCATTCTCCCTAAAGCTATCGAAGACAGTGATGACGAGGTGAGACGGATCATGGTTGGTATGTGCCCAAGCTTACTCGCTATTGAAGAATACGCTGCTGATACCGTGAAAGAACTTCAGGAATGGACTGAAGTAGGTCAAAATTTCCTTGTTTGCATTTTTGAATTGGAGAAAAAACAACGACAATATTTCTAGGATGCTGAAATTGGTGCGGCTGTTCGCGTCGTGCTCGGCGAACCAGCAGCTGATCGACCTGATCCCGTTGAGCATATCCTTGCGGATATGATGAATGCACTGCGAGTGAACATTAATGATACCATTGACTGTTACTAGAAGTGAGCCGTTATATGACACTTTCGGCTTATTTTTGCTTGTTTGCTGACTTGAGAAGCGTGCTCACAGTCGCGGTGGCGTCTTGCCACTGATCTCTTCATAGTTGACAAGTTTGTTACACCTGATAAAGAGCTTGTGTAAAATAACATAGTTGATATTTCAGTTCTGGTTTGATCTCGAGCAGCTAAATGGTAGCACTTGCAAATCGGATCAATTGTTTTAGAATGTGTTGTCGAAGATGAGAATATTTCCTGCCCAACAAATGCTGCCGAATTCATTTTTTTTTTGAAGAAATTTTTTGTTATTTTTTTGAGCGGAAGCATATCGATCTTAACACTGAATAGGCTGACAATGATAAGTTGTCGAGGTTCAACGCATTCGCCTTTAAGATTTTCAACAAAAGCATTACATGGTGCATTTTTCAAATAGTGTTCTATAGGAAACTGTAT